AAACTGGTTTTCCAGAAGACAGGATCTTCGAAGTGCTAAGGGCAACTCCCATATTCATATTCGGAATCAGCATGATCGATAGCCTATAACCCACTAGATTTCTATTAAAAAGCGCTTGATCACTTGGAAACGTTCCCTCGTTAGCTTCGATTTTTGCCCTTAGACAAATTCAGTGTTACTCATTTAATATTACTATTCCATAATTTTCAATGGCAAGTTCTACTGTTGTTTCGCAAGCAAATTCATCTTCTACCACTGACAAGACTGAGACAAAACTTCAAATTATATTAAATGGCACAGAAAAAAAAGAAATAAACCACAATCATCAAAAAAGAATCTAAAAGATTACCGGACTCGGACTCGGAATAAATTTTTGAGGACTCGACTCGGACTCCGTCCCTACCGGACTCGCCCATGCCTGAAACAGGCACACTTACGCTCAACCCAAAATGATTAGATTAGAATTAACTCACCTTTAAGAATATTAATTCGATGATCATTACCATGTGTATGAACCTAATCTAATAATTCATCTTTTGTAAATAAATCACAACACATTTTTCTTGCTAAGCTCATGATTGATGTTGTCGCTTTTTTATGACTTAATATATTCTTTCCATTATGAATCTACAAACGACGACAAAAAAAGTAAACACTGAGTTAAAATTATCGTCACGAATTTAATTAGAGCGGACCATAGCAAACTCTCACGACTCATCTCCTCATACGTCAGCATTAGCGCAAAGTTCAAATCACAGGACCTCGTTTAGTGAAGTGAAGAAGAGAAACTACTTACCAATGTTAACTTTTTTGAAACTGGTACCAAATTTGTAACTGTAGTCGATGTCACGTTCTAAATAAGCGAAAATAGAGAACCGGATATCAGTAAAAGTGCTAACAGATCGTAGACCGATCTGTTCCAAACTTTGTTCATCAAAAAGCTTCTCAAGAAACGGTGCGAAATTATACTTTAGCTTACAACTTTTTGTTTCCAAAACTTCAGACCCCTTTCATCTTCTCAAACTTACTTGTTTCACTGTAAGCAAATTTTTCTTGATATTTTTAACGATTGGAACTATTATTTCAAAATGTGTTGAATTTTTAAAAACGATATTTTCGATTGCTGCCAGTCTTGTACTTATCTGTGTTAATGTTCTTTCGACCGATTCTAATCGAGCGTCAAATATTCCATCGATTTCTAAAGCGCAAGAAAAACAAAAGTAGGTTTTTTTATGCTAGCGAAAGTCTAAAGTTGTCTCTATTGGATAAAAAAGGCTTTTCTTCTGAAACCGGTGGTTAGTGCAGAGTGTAGCATGTTTCAACTGACTCAGATCTCAATGTTTTTCGACACTAGAAAACGTTCTACAGTTCATTCAAAATGATTCCATAAAGGATGCAATTTTCTCAGGTTAAGGCTAACTCGGAGATTTATTTCCCAAAAGATAGAAAAAAGGTCTCAACACTTACTTTTTAAAAATTCGTCTTTCAAAGACTTATCATCGTAAACTTTCGGCCGTTTGTTCTGACTTGGTTGTGAAATAAAGTTGAGAGTATCCGTCGATGTACCAGTTATATGTCGTTTATGCGGCTGAGTTGGTTGTAGAACGTTGTTAAGACCAATTACTGGATTGTGACGAAGCAAATTAGAAGTTACATTATTTGACGAACGATGACTAATCAGAGATACATTTGGTGACGACATTTGACGTGTTGTAGGAGAAAGAGGAGTCGACGTTTGTGACTGAGATGATTGATTCAGAAGTGCTGATGCCGTGGACGAAGTTGTAACTGGTAGAACAGACGAACTTGGAATGGATGATGCTATTGGCCTGGTTAATGGTGGTCGAACTCGTGAAATGGAATCGTCATGTGGAACTGTAACGAGAGCCGGCGTTTGTTCATTATCTTTTGTCGCTAATGGAACGACTTCCGGTTCAGCACCTAAATATAATAAAAAATTTTGACTTCTACTAAAAAATAAGTAACTGCTGCCGCTGTGATAATTTGGAAAAAGCATTAAAAGATTTCGAACGAAAAAGTAGTATCATGGATCGGTTTTGCTCCCGCAATCATTAGTAACTTACTAAAGATTGATTGTAAACCAGTGTTCTTTTTCGACGATTTTTTACCTGGAATCGAACCGGTTCCACGTTTAGTCTTAGCAGTGTTTTTTACTAAAAGAAGCTAAGAAGAACGCTTAGATAGATAACCAGAGCAAAAATCTAAGACTTAAGGTGCAACTAATGCAAAAATGCAGTAAAAACTTTTTCTCGTTTTTCAATACATGGTTACATAGAGCTTGACAAGGTGATTAAGAATATGTGGGTTTACATTTTTTTCTGGAATGACTTTTACAGGAAAAATTTTCCGTTTTTTTCAGATGGTGAATTTTTGTGAAAAATGCGAAAATCGCGAAATTCATCCATTTTATCATTTCTTTTATATCCCACAACTATGTTTTTCGGATTCGCCATACATCTAGAAAATATATTTCAACCACATTTTCATATGCAGTTTGCAATGCTGGTTCAGAAAAAAAGTGTTTAAAAGCTCCAAAATGCAATGAGAAAAAACTATCGTCGTTTTTCTCGATTTTAGCATCCTTCCCGTATTTTTCGTTTTCCACCACGACGGAAAGGTCTGAGAAGCTTTTAAAGGTGATTTTCGGATTCAGCTCACTCT